GGCTGGAAAGGGTCAAAGCCTACTTTTGGTTGGAACTTGTTGCACCTTCTTTTTTAAATGAACATATGCCGATGCCTTTACAGGGCGAGGGAGGCCAGGCCTGCAATAAATGTTTGGTGATTGAATAAAGGAGTCACAAAAGCTATGATGCAGAAGAGGCATATATAGGGATGTGGGTCTCAATGTGAAGCATGATCGTTTAGCAAACCCAGGACACTCGTTTAAAAACTTGGATGGAACTCTGTTTTAAATACACAAATTGAAAGTTGATTCCTTGACTTTTATGATCACTTTGCAGTTCTCTTTCTGTTGCTGTCATTTCTTCACAAATACCTTTGCATCACACACAAACACACAAAGTTCCATGGGGCAAACTTCAGTTCTTGTTGCCAGAAAATGAGTAAAAATGCACTGAAGTAGCTTTGCTCGGTATAAATGCTTTGGTATGAACTTCTACCACAAAATTGCCATTTAAAAAAGAATAAGCCTAAATGATAAAGATAGAATACTGTGGGCAAGAGGCAGCCTGGGTACGATATGAGTGGACATGTTCTGCATTTAACTAAAATAAGAAGCATAACCTCACCACCAAGTTTAATTCTCTTTTTTACTTAAGCATGTTTTAAAAGTTGACTAATCATGAAGTTGTCCTTCTCTAAAAGATACTTCAGAAGGAAAGAGCTGAGTGAAACCTTAGACTTTAAGAAGGACACAGAAGACCAGGAAAGTCAACATGAGAGTGAACAAGACTTCTCACAAGGACCCTGTCCCACCGTCCGCCAGAAGCTCTGGGACATCCTGGAGAAACCTGGGTCTTCCACGGCTTCCCGCATCTTTGGGGTCATCTCCATCATCTTCGTGGTGGTGTCCATCGTCAACATGGCCCTGATGTCGGCTGAGTTAAGCTGGCTGGACCTGCAGGTGCTGGAGATCCTGGAGTACTTTTGCATTAGCTGGTTCACTGGGGAGTTTGCCCTGCGCTTCCTGTGCGTGCGGGACAGGTGCTGCTTCCTCCGAAAGGTGCCAAACATCATAGACCTGCTGGCCATCTTGCCCTTCTACATCACTCTTCTGGTAGAGAGCCTGAGTGGGAGTGAGACCACGCAGGATCTGGAAAACGTGGGGCGCATCGTCCAGGTTCTGAGGCTGCTCAGGGCCCTGCGCATGCTAAAGCTGGGCAGGCATTCCACAGGTATTCAGATTTCATTGATGTCTTTCAGTTTGTTATTATTTTTAAGCAGGAGGGGTTTGGCCCACATTCCAAGGGAAGCAACTCTGCATTGATACTCAAAATACCAACTCCCGCCCTAGCTGGTTTGGCTCAGTGGATAGAGTGTCGGCCTGCAGACTGAAGTGTCCCGGGTTCAATTCTGGTCAAGGGCATATGCCCGGGTTGCAGGCTCGATCCCCACTGTGGGGTGTGCAGGAGGCAGCCGATCAATGATTCTCTTTCATCATTGATGTTTCTATCTCCCTCTCTCTCTCCCTTCCTCTCTGAAATCAATAAAAATATATTTTAAAAAATACCAACTCCCATATTCCACCCAACCATGATCTCCAAGAAGTTATTTGGAAGCAAAACCTTGTAGTTGTTATTACAGGTACAAAGGAAACCATGCCTCTCACACTCTCTCTCCCCAAGGCACTGGAGAAATAATTTGACCACTTGTTCACCTCAATTTGGTTTAACCCTGTGCCCAGAAAATATAAAACAAAAACAGAAACCTAAAGACACTCTTCCTCTAGAAGGTGCCAAATTAAACATGCATAAACAGCACATTAAAATATATGCCTAAGTTATATATGATATTTAGGGACATAAGCCAGTTTCTCTTCTGTGTCCACGAAAGTGCTTGCCACACATGTTCTTTGGCAGAAGAGAAAGCCTGCCCTGCTGAGGCTTCTCTGGCTACACAGGAAGAGAGATGACCAGGCACTGGTGGCCTTCTGCTATGTTTTGAAGAAACAATGGAAATATTTGTTTGGGGAGAAAGCAGAAGACACGATTTCACCTGGTATCTGAGAATTTTCTTGACTGGGATGCATGAGAGAGATGGGAAGAACTCCTTAGCTTTTTGTGTACCATAAAGACTACATAATTGAACAAACATTCTCCCTAGAAAAATCTCCACAGAACTGTACTTAAAAATGATAGCCAATGTCAGGGGAAATCACACAAATCCATTACAGATGACCCTTGCCTGTCTGAGGGCAGTGATTCTCAGAGGCCAGCCCTGGGTCTGTTGGATGCTCTGGACTACATATGTTACCTTCTGTTAGACTTTCCTGCAAAGAGGAATCCCTTGAAAATCTTCTTAAGAGGCTAATTCTTAGCCCCAGTCTGTAGAGAGTTAGATTCTAGTATTTGGGGTTGTGTCCAGGAACATACATTTTAACAAGCTCACAAAGTAATTTTGATGTAGGTGGTTCTTGGACTTGAAGCAAAACCTTGACATTGTTATCACAGGAGTAGAATAAGAAACAACTGGAATAGAATGCCATATTGATATCATACATACTAATGCAATACATGTGAATGCAAATAATTGAACTAGAGAGTCCTTTACCACCTTATTTCTCTAGAAATGTGCCTGGCGGATCACCTAAAAGACGTTAATGATAATTGTCTCTCCTCGTGGAGAGAAATTAACCTCAGATATTTTTTTTTCACATCTCTAAAGTAATTGGGACTTATCCTAATATAATCTTGGTAGTGTGTTTTCCTAGCTAGTCTCACACACCAAGGATTTGATAATGGGGTTACCAACAACTTTTAGAAGTACTACCCTTTGTTTTCTGACACACATAATAGGATGCTTGCTTCTAGTATTTATAAACTCTTCACAGGATTCCATTTAAACACCCAGTATAGAGTACATTTTTTCCCAAAAGAAAGGAAAAAGAAAATAATAGTAATTTCCACAATGTCTACCTCTTCAAAGGTTTTTTCAGTTCTAAAGAAATACAAAGTAATAACGGAATCTTCATTTATTGAGAAGATATGGACACTTGGACAAATATTGGACAATTTTAACCTAAGCATAACATTTAGCAGAATATAGACATAGATGACATATCCCGCCATGTAATAACTATAAGGACAAATTAAAAGGTATTATGCAATAAGTTAGAGCAATGGTAGGCCAGAGATCCCAGATTTAAATCCTGGCTCTGTAACCTTGTACTAGAGATGCTACCTGTCTATGCCTCAGTCTTCTTGTCTGTAAAAAAGAATAATAATTACAACCACTATCTCCTATATTTTAAGAATAATCTGAGTTAATAGATGTAACATGAAGAAGTTCAGACCACTTTATGTTTCTTTACAAGATTGTTCAGGGGATTTCATCTTGAAATGAAAACAGTCTCCCCAAACACTATATGCTTTTCCTCATATGCTGTCAATTTATTTCAGAAATGCAACTCAATACAGACACATCAAGGCCAGTTTTCTAAAATGTATTCTGAAGATATTCTAAAAAGTTTTCTTTTTATGTTAAGCCTCAAAATTAATATTCACTGATCTGCAAAAGTAGCTGGTAAATAATTCAAGAGTATCTTAACATTTTAAGAACAAAATTCAAAATGATGAGAGCATCAGTAGTATTTTAATGCATCTCAAGTAGTCTCTAGTGAGTGAATAAAAATTTTAAATGATTCTAGGAGGAATTGCTTTGGACTTCGGAGACAATATCATTGTGGCATCAGGTTGATATGGCTTCAAAATGTGGGTACACATTTAGCAGTATCTCTCTAGTGTTGGGGAAGATGCCTTATTCAAATAACAGTCCCATTACAGTCGCATCTTACTCTCCCTAAGGCTTAATCTCTTTAGATATGGGAATGGCCTCTCTTTGGTCTGTCTCCCAGGGGCCCAATGAATCCTCAGAACAGCAATGAGGAATTCACCAATGAGAGAATTTCCTAATGGCTCCAGTCCTCCATACCTTTTTGCAATGGAGGAATATCCTATATTCAGGTCTACTTCCTTACTAGAATGCAGAAATTCTATGTACTCAAAGGAAGTATTTTCCTAGAGCTTTCGTGTTAAGGACTAGAATCTCAATGGATGTCATGGGAGTTCAGGAACCCCTCCTGGAAGACCTCTAAGATTATCCTCTGAATGTACATTTGATGTTCTGGCCTCAATTTTGTCACTGATGCCTAACTTGCTTCACTTCATTCTCCTGGTGTATGTCCTTCACTGCCTCAGGTTTTCAGATAATGATATGCTCATTGTGTTAAACTTTATTGGGAGGGTGAGAAAAGTAGACAGCATACAATTGGCATTAGAAAAGTGTGTCAAAGTCAGGCACTAGTCTGACCTAGTGAGCACTCCACACCCAACACTGCAAAGACCTCCCATTGTACAGACTCGCATACACATTCCAATCATATACCCCTCCCTGCTTTTTCATTCCATTCCTCACCTTTTTCTGTATAAATAGTAGGTGTGTAACAAGTACACAAGTGAGTGAATGGGTCTAATTATATTTCTTTTTATCCTTCTCAATCCAGCCGCATCAACTAGACTATGAGCTTCCTGAAGACAAGGATTATGATTTGTCATCCATACACCCCAGAACATTGCCCAGTGCTGGAGACATAGTAGATATGAAATGCGTGTTTGTGGGTAGATAGCAGGGAAGGGAGAGAAGGGTGGGAGGAGGGAGGAGAAGAAGAGGGGTGCCAGTGACTGACAGAAAATGTTCTATTACAGGATTACGCTCACTTGGAATGACAATCACCCAGTGTTATGAAGAAGTCGGCCTACTGCTCCTATTTCTGTCTGTGGGAATTTCTATCTTCTCCACTGTGGAATATTTTGCTGAGCAAAGCATTCCTGACACAACCTTCACAAGTGTCCCTTGTGCGTGGTGGTGGGCCACAACATCCATGACTACGGTGGGCTATGGGGACATTAGGCCAGACACCACCACAGGCAAAATCGTGGCCTTCATGTGTATATTATCGGGAATCCTTGTCTTGGCTTTGCCTATTGCTATTATTAACGACCGCTTCTCTGCTTGCTATTTTACCTTAAAGCTCAAGGAAGCAGCTGCTAGACAGCGTGAGGCTCTGAAGAAACTTACCAAGAATATAGCCACTGACTCATATATCAGCGTGAACTTGAGAGATGTCTATGCCCGGAGCATCATGGAGATGCTTCGACTAAAAGGCAGGGAAAGAGCAAGTACTAGGAGCAGTGGAGGAGATGATTTCTGGTTTTGAGTTCACTTTCAGTTTATTTACAAAAGCTTGTGTAAAACTAACTCGATCTATAAAGCCTTGATGTGGTTGTCCGTGTACTGCTGCGGAGTCTCTTTTTTGCTGATACATTGCTTAGTTTGCTAGAACAGTTCATATCTCCCCAACAATGGTATTTTGATACACTTGAGTCTCAAAAATAACCATCTAACACAACCCAATACAACTAGACCAATATAACATGTCAGAATTGGCAAATGTAAAATATTGCAGTACATACAAGAGTTAAAGTTTTATGCATCACTAATTTTAAAAGTTTTTTGCAGTAATAATTTTTAAAAAATGAATGTTAAACTGCCAAGCCCAGAGAAAAGATAAGTGAACATTTAAGAGTACACTAAGCAATTTTGTTATTTAAAGATATTCCCCAAGTAAGTAAATCACTCCTTTCTTCATCCATTAAAGCTGTTGAATACAACAATTACCTTTACAAGAGAAAAATCCCGATTTGTTGGTCATTTCTTCCCCCTGGTGCAAACCCTGGTCACAAATGGGCTGAGCTCTGTATTCCACCATTGTTACATAGATGGGACTCCCAACTGCTTAGACTTCAGTAGAAGAATGCTATCCAGTGGCTTCAAGAATCACACTTCTTCATCCCCACACTGAGGGCTATATGTTGAGTGTAAAGCAGATATCTCTTAGTATTCCATGGAAATTAGATGGACTTTAAACATATATTTATTGATGTCGTGTTCAAGTTATGTCTTTAAAATCATGAACATGTAAAAATGAAGTAGTGAACATTTTAAATTTATATTCTGAAATCACTAATTAGTCTTATTTTATGAAATGAGAATCATACATTGAATGATATCACTGGATCAACTTGAAGATCTTTTATTTGTTAAAAAACATTATGGATAACTTTCTGACTATAGGGGTAAATAACAAATGTTCAAACTTTGCACGCATGTTGACAGCATTTGGACATTCATGATAATAATAAAATTCCAAGACATTCTGTTATATAATTAAAGCCAAAAGTTCTAAACCTAATAATTAATTAATGTTTCCCAATATTCTAGTAAGTGAGATCTTTAAAGCTAAGTATAATATGGAGTATCACTTTAATTTTAATACCTGTATTCTCAATGAGTGTAATAGTGCTAACAATGGGATGAAAATGGTTTCTTGCAGGGCAAAAATATCTTACTCTTTATTCATAAAACACACATATATGTGCAGTACATTAACAGATATAGAGTATATCTATAGTATTAAAATTTAACGGGGTAGGAAATTAGAAAAAAAATGGCTAAGAGGCTTCTTGCCAGGGTTGGGTGGTGATAAGAAATAAATATGGAGCAATACTGCTTTAACATGTGACTATATCATATTTTATCAATCATACTGAAATCCTATTACATGATGAACTGCAAAGAAAAGGAAGGAAGGAAGGGAGGAAGGAAGGAAGGAAGGAAGGAAGGAAGGAAGGAAGGAAGGGAGGGAAGGAAAAATGAGAACCCAATCAAGTATAAGATGCCATCAAATATAAAATGCATCCAGAGTTAGGAAATGTAAAAATTTAAAGTATGCATATTAAAATTAATGAACTATCACATATACTACCTCTGGTTTTCTGGTATGCATTCTTAAGCCCTAAAAACATTTTTATTGATGGCATGAGTTTTAGATTATATGCTAAAATATTTTAATTCATTTGGCTTGTTACCCCTTCTTCCAAATTTTATTAAAGATTTAGGAGCTAGGAGTAGTAATAAAATAAATATTTTTTCTCTTACACAATTTACAGTGCTAAAGCATGCCATAGGGGCACTAGTTAAATCCCATTCACAATCTGAAGGGGAAATAGAGGTTGGACATAGAAGGCAAACTTATCCAGGCTTCTCTGGAACTCTGCTCAATAAGAATAGTTACTTTAATCTAGGACTTCTGTACTCATCATGTATTATGTCACTTCAGCCTTAAAACATCCCTATTATACAATTGCTATTCTTGTACTCCTCTAAGTATATAGTTGGTATACTTATTCATTCAACAATACTTGTTCAGAATCCATCTGTGTGCTAGCCCCAGAGATTATTTGTTGAACCACATTAAGTCCTGTTCTCTTGTATTTAATACTCTATTCGAGGGTTTGAGGGGAACAGAGATGACAAAACTGAGGCTTAAGATGAAGTAACTTGTCCACATTCATACAGCCCAAAAACAGGTGAAAGAGCCAGTAATGAATCCTAAGCTGCTGAGAATGACACTCCTAAAGGTCACATTACAGATTTCACGAACCCCAACAGCCTATATGTAGGGGATTGATGTCTTAGGCAGACAAGCCGATTTCCTGTAGGTGGAGAGGTTTAATATGTCCTCAGAAAAAAATCAGCTTATTCTCAGAGATGGCATGGTGCTTTTAAGGAAAAGTTGCTCTCACACCTTATAGTCATTATTAAACAAGACAAACATTATCTTAAGAATAATTCATTTGGAAAATGAAAAAAAACTATGTTTTATGTAGTTTTTGTACTAAACATATATGATATGGGTGTTTCAAAGAAATTTTTAAATATGTTTATTCAGTTTTGTTGTTACATAAAATACCAGTAGTTATTCAACACATGTACATATAAGCAAACCAAATTTAATTAACAAAACAAAGCAGAAACTCTGTTAATCTTTTATCCCATCATTTGAAAACATTTGACATTATTTTTAAAATCTAATACTTATTGCTACAAAATAATATTCACTTTTTGGAAATATAAATAATGGAATTATTGGCTTTCTGTAAGCTCTTAGAATACTAATTAAAACATTTGAGTTTACAGAGGTAATTCTTGAGTACTGAAAAGAGCAATTTTAAGAAATTACTGAGGTATCTCTGGTAGAAACGGCATCATGTTCATGTTTTATTGTTTTTCCAATATATACAAGAAATTGTTTCATTTGTCATTTTAATGAAAATTAGTATTAAGTACAATGTCTGAGATGCACAAGGAAAATAACGGAGGTGGAAATCTCAGTGCTGTGTTTCAATGTGGAATTCTTACTGTCATTAAAATCTTTTGATTAACCCTTGCAGAAAATACATATGTTGGCCCAAGTTATCTAAGCAAAATATTATCATTGGTAAATTTACTGATTTGACAAATATTTCTACTGATACACTTTGATAACATGAAAAGTCTGCTCTTTGGAAATATTAGCCATCAATATCTCTGTCTTATCAATCCTTCAATTCAGGTCCAAGAAGATATTTGTTGACAGGTGATGTGGTCCAGTGCTTCCCTTGTTGGTTTCCTTCACAAAGCACCCCCACGCCCAAACCTGTCTCTAAGCCATGCTGATATATAGCATTAAAATGTCACACAAGGGGAGTTCTACTCATAAATGCCACTGGCAATTGTCTACATGGTATGTCTTCAGGGGCAATGGGATAACCTGGATGCTCACCATCTTCATGTCTTTACTTGCCTTATATTAAAATCATCCCCTTATCTACCTCCACAACTCCATTGCTCTGTGATCCTTCTTGCCATACAATTGGTGAAACCCAAACCCTAGTTCAATTCAGTTCAGTGCCTCTGTGTGCCGGCCCCTGAAGAGCTGATCACGATAACAGAAAAAACAATGTATGCTGACTGCTCTCATTTCACATTCATGCCTACAACCCCGAATGACTTCTTGATGCTGCTAGGCAGTCATACTGCTATTCCAGAATCCATCCACTCTCTCAGTAAATATAAACCTCTAACACCTCCCTGTGATTCCACTTCACTTAGAAAATAGAATCAGTTAGAAGAGCTTTTCTACAAGGGCTGCCACCCACGTGTATCTGTGTTTATCCATATGTGCCTTTCCTCCTATTATGAGGCTTGAACTGCCCATCCTGTCCCTTCTGTGCAATTCTAGAACATCGCTTCAGAAAGTCCTTTCCCTCTCACTACACTACCGTCACTTTCCCTACTAGATTGCTCCCAGCAGCATAAAAACATGATTTAATTTTCCCCATCTTAAAAACAAAAGCCAGCAAACAAAAAACCTCCTTGAATCTACTTCAATCTTGAGGAAACACCTGATTTCAGGCTCTCCATTTTGACAAAACTCCTTGAAAGCATTTTCTATATTCACTCTCTACATTTTTATATTCACTTTTTTTCCTATTCTTTTTTGAAAAGCCACTTCAAGTCAGCAATTACCCCATCAGTGCTGAACCCAATAATCAATTCTCATACTTTATATTGCTGGATCCATTGGCAGCATTTACAAGGATAACTGTAAGCTCTACCTTGGAACACTTTCTTCACTTGTCTTCCAGCCCTTCACACTCTCCTGATTTCTCCCTTCCCCCACTGCTCATTCATCTTTTCTGGCTGAAGTGGTCAGTCAATCCTAGTCCTCATCTCCTCTATTTACATGTTCCCTTCATAAAGTCATCCTGTTTCAATTGTGCTAAATGTACAAACCTCAATAAAAACAATAAATTTCAATATATTGATTTTAATGATATCCCTGCAAAAGAAAGATTTAAAATGTCAACATTGAAAAGTAATTGGAAATACAGCAAGCTGACTTGTTAAAATATCCCAAGCCCAGCTGGTGAAGAAGAGTGATTATGTGTTGACCTATGAACCAGGAGGTCACAGTTCAATTCTGGTCAGGACACATGCCCAGGTTGCAAGCTGTTGTCATTGATGTTTCTATCTCCCTCTCTCTTCCTCTCTGAAATCAATCAAAATATTTTAAATCCCCAAAATATATTCAAAGAAAAAATATTAATTTAAATAATTTCTTAATTTTCTATAGCTGCTAATAAAAAGGGGTACTTCTACTCTATAATTTGGAGCAACTTTCTAAAGAATCATTCCTACAATATGTATGGAAATGGAATGTATGATATTTTTACATTATATATCAGTTGAAAATTCAAAATTATACTTCTCAGTGATAACATAATATCCAGTATTTTTGTCTAAAATTAAACATTATATCATCCTGAAATGTATTGGTTGTCCCAGAAAAAGTCTAAGAGAGATTACACTGGGAGACAATTTGCCATGTGTCTCTTGCATTTCTACAT